CAACGAAATCAGATTTAATAGGCGAAATCAGACTTAGGTAATCGTTAGGCTTTAGTCTACAGTTATACTTTATATGCCAAATGCTAATCAGGTTGGCCACAGATGTACGTACATGATCAACACCTCTTAGAAGAGAGAAGGTATCGGCACTGATCAATTTAGAAGATTAACGAATCGAACATAAACTGATCAGTCTGGAAGAAATTAGAAAGATCTCCTGACTTTCGAGTTACTAAATTTTTCAGTGGGGAAAATGCGAAAGATGTTATAACGTCCGGACTATTAAAGGATCGAAAATCTCGTTCATGGTAACCCATGCGCAAGCCTCATTGAAAGGAGAACGATCTACCCCCTGAGCCACCACTGCTCTCAAAATTACATTAAATTAAATTTATAAATAAATCCAACCCAGGGTAGCTAGCGTGTTAGGGCGTTGGGCCCATGTCCAAGAGGTCGTGTATTCAATCCTCTCCGCCGGCTGAAGACTGTATAGTAAATAGTGATTTGTATAGTAAATAGTGATTGGTGCACGTTAATACTGTCGGGACATAAAGTCCTCCATGTTCTCATAAGAAATCGATAACTCTAGGGGTACTGAATTGGAGATTGATCGTTTTTGGTTCAGGTCAAAATTACAATCTGTAGATGAATAAATGGATGTATGAATGGGTCTGACCTGTGTGTGGTTGAAGTAGTATTCTTGGCAATAGGTGGAGCTATTGAAAAATAAGAAACGCACTGTTTGCCTTAAGTTCGTCAAGCACGCTTGCTAGTATTTGGCAAGTGGCATTTTAAACAGCAACAGCAATTTATAAATCCATAAATTATAAATAATTTATAAAATTTATTACCACTTTAAATATGAAAATGTTGATGTTGGCAGCGTTTCACGGAGTTCATACAAGAAAATATTCCAATTTTTCTTTTCTCTCACTCTCACACGTTTTTATTTATTTATTTATACTTTGAGATTTTGAGTTCGTGAAAATTATAAAAATGCCAGTTACTCAGTGAAAAAAATTTTGGCTAATTTTGTTTACGCTCTTCTCAGTACCATATTGTTTACTCGTGGTTCGCCGAAGCAGAAGCTTTAATCGGGGTCCTCCTTAAAAATATTTCAGTCCTATTTAAAATTTCACTGCTTGAAGAAGGAAAAAAATACGGCAGCATTACTTTTGGTTCTGTAGCCACGTAGCACTCAAATAATCATTGTAAAACATTTGCTTTCAAGATTAAAAATAGGAGGATTTACGAAATTCTAAATATCTTACTATAAATTTTTTTAAACATCAATTAATTTAAAATGAAAAGAAAAAAATTTTAAAACTAAAATAATACTTTTTTCCTATTATTAATTCATCCAGAACTTCATTTTCAGACTGTCATAGAGAGAGAGAGAGAATCAGTCACCATTATTCCTTAAATTATAAACTTATAAAATCTTAATTTCTTTAATTTATTAAGTGAGCTCGGTAGTGTGGAGGTAAGGGATTCGTATCCCACAGTAACACTGGATGTATTTTTGTGTTGCACTTTTTTAATTTGTTTTAACTACTCTTCAACTTGTCATAGGTTTATAAATCATCTTTATAACTAAAAGCACATGCCTTTCATATGTGTGTGTAAAGTAAATAAAAAATATTTCTTAATATTTTGATTACTATTTAGTTATTAATATAAATAAAATAAATAAAGAAAAATCAAGTACGTATATTCATTCAATTGATGCATTTTTAATTGTATGTGTTTCTCCCATGAGATAGTTCAATGTCCAAGACAATAATTCAACAATAAAATAACCCCAAAATGTTGGTATTACATTAAAAATTAAAAAGAAAACAAAGAAAAAGAGTATTTTTAAAGAGAAGAAAAAAAATTATTAATAAATAAAATGTTTTTAAAAATTTAAAAGAAAAAGATGTTGCGAAGCCGTAAACAGAATAAGGAAAAGATATGATCTCCTCGTCAGCTCACACGACTGTATCCGCAAAAAAGAGTGCTCTCTAATATTGTGTTAATATAGCCGAAGCAAAATATATCAAAACATTATACAAATACACATATACATGCATATATTTTTTTCCTTCTTTTCTTTGTATTTTTGACTTTGTATTTTGGTTTCGATAATTTTAACGCATTATGAAATTTATAATTCATAATTTTCAATAAACATGCAATGCATTGAAAATACTCGAAAGCCTTATGGCGTTTTGCTAATTAATTAAATCTCTCTCTCCCTCTCTCTCTCTATCTCTCTCTTTATATATATATATATATATATATATATATGTTCTCATTTTATTCATAGTCGTGAATTTGGGACCATAATTCCTACAATATCGGTATATGTAATGTATATCTACTCCATAAGTTATTCCATCGTAATTTTTATTAAACATTTAAGAGAAAGACTAAAGATATGAAACTACTATTTACAAATATACATGGAGCAGAAGCATCTGGATACAAGTTCACAACTACATTTTCAAAAGACAAGTGAGCACTTTTTTCGCATGCAGCATATAGTCATTATTTCTTTCATGTTATATGATCCATAATATTCAGACTTCTTTGTTAAGGTTGATGCCGTAAGAGTAATTATGAGACTAGATGAAGATCTATTAAAATCTCGAAATATTTATTAAATTGAATGATATAACTGCTTAATGAAAAAATTATTGAAAGCTTTTTCTTATTATTTGTTTAAAATTAATATTTAATGTTTTAGATCACCCATCATAATTATTTGTATCTATTTAAAAAAAAAAGTATTTTCAATTTGCTTTTCGCAGGGACCGTGTTAGCTCAGTGGTTAGAGAATCGGACTCCGGTACGGAAGGGCAGGGTTGGTTTCTCGAATTCGCTAAGGCTTACTAAGCACATACGATCGTGCTTGAAAAATCTGTGGAATCGAACGTCCGATGGTCGGTCACTGAGCAGTATCATGGCTACAGGAATCAGGAAAAAAATTTCTCCCCTTCAGAGCTATGTGTAAATTGGGGAAGCGCCGGCCCGACAAATGTAATTCCTTTTGCAGAGAATCAAAATTGCGACGGCATGTCTTCGGATCAGCCTCAGGAATGTTTTGCAGACTATCGCCAAAAGCCCTTTGTGCAGCTCTAGTGCGACGTAAATAAAATCCTTACATACCTATCTAGTTTATATCAAGGTTAGTCTAAATTTTGGTTACCTAAGGTGTGCGGATGGGTCAGTTTTTAATCAGCCTACAAAGGGATAGAGGGTATGCGATATCGGCCCTCGTTAAACCGTTCGACCGTGAAGTGATCGATTTCACACGTTTTCTACCTAACTACCTAACAGGTAGTTATATATTTTCTACCTAACAGGGGAACTATCCACTCTGCAGAGGATCAAACTTTTAATGGTATGTCTTCGGATCATCCTCAGTGATGCTTCTTTGACCGTTTCCATTGTGCAGCTCTAGTGAGCACTGGCTGCAGTCAGTGTGCGGGTGGGTGACCCACTTGGATCAGTCTGCGTAGGGACCGAGGGTGTGCGGTATTGNCCATTCATAAGAGCTTTCAGAAATGTATTAATTCTCAGAGGTCGTAAGGTCAAAAAAAAATTTGGAAAGTTAATATCTCATTGTGAATAATTTTTAAGGTTTGCCTTGTTTTGTATTTTATCCCTTATTTGGCTACATTTGAATAAAATGTCGCCAAAAATATCATTAAAAATATCTTTTTAAGTTAGCCTAATTAGAACATATTCTAATGATTATAATATTAATATGATAATCCTGAAGTTTAAAGGCTGGAAGAAAGAACTCGGTACATGTGAAATACTGCAAAAGATATGATGCAATAATATGATGGCGCGTTTTTTCAATCTGCGGCGTAAAAATATATCGGAAGCAGTAACCCGAAAGTCTTGAAAGAGCAATTTCACCACTAGCGCCACCACCCTCAGCTTTACACGATCACCCATCCATAAATTTTGGTTACCTAAGGTGTGCGGATGGGTCAGCTTTTAATCAGCCTACAAAGGGATAGAGGGTGTGCGATATCGGCCCTCGTTAAACCGTTCGACAGTGAAGTGATCGATTTCACACGCAGGTCGTCAGGCTACCTAACAGGGGAACTATCCACTCTGCAGAGGATCAAAATTTTAATGGTATGTCTAATGGTATGTCTTCGAATCATCCTCAGTGATGCTTCTTTGACCGTTTCCATTGTGCAGCTCTAGTGAGACATCATCCAACAACAACATATGATCGAAATATAACGGGTAATGGAAAAGTTGCCCAGGCATTTTTTGACGTCTAAAATCACTATTTATTGTCGATATCATGATTTTTGTCTATACCTAATCAATGCTGTGAGTAAAGTATTTGTCTACCACGACTTGGCTCTGGGATCAATTTCCCATGTTAAAGGCTGAGTGCATGATCGAATTGTTGAGCATTCTCACTGCATTCAATCGCTTGCAAATTTGATTCGAACATGCGTGGTAGTTAGTCTTATAATATGTAGTAAAAAAAAAATTAAAAAAAACATTCACATACGCATCTTTGACAATCGGATGCAATGTAAATGGTCTCTCGGACTTCCCCTCTTGTGCTTTACAGTTGCAAAAGTAGACGTGTAGTTGGGTGGTTGGGAGACATGGTGTGTCGGTCAAATGATTTTTACTATGCCCTGAGTACCACTATCGACCCTTTAAAATAATTTGAGGAAATATAGCGCCAGCATGCACCAGTAATATCTCTGGATTATTATTAAGGTTGAAGCCTTCGAAACCATTAGTAAGAAGCTGACTACGCTTAAAAAGGACCAGAACTACTGAATAATTATTTGCATAAATGTGATTTTCGAGGTTTGCATTTCATAAACCCATCGCGTTTGAGCGTGTGTATGGTAAATGCACAGACGAAACACATTATATTTGAAAGTTACTGTGAGAATTGAACCTTTCACTTGACTCTTCATATGTGAAGCGGAAGTAACTCTCCACATTGATATTTTCAAAACAATAAAGTTATGAACTCTGATGGCAACTGAAAACTTATGAACAGGAAGTAGAGGGGGATTGTTTAAATGCGTAATTATCTGCTATTGTTATGATATACTTATTGATACAGATAATTTAATAATAGATTTGTCACTTTTTTACCGTGATTGATACGCCCCAGCAGTTACTCAACCGTTTTAATCATTTTTACGGACAGCAATAAAAATGCCTCGAAGTAAGAATTTATGAGAATATAGTTAGTTTTGTTTTGTTATGTCAAGTATTTTTCATTGTTTTCAGTTTAATATTTTTTATTTAACTTATTTATAATGTTAATTTTTCGTTATTTTTATATAATATTTATAAGAAGTGTTAATAGAAATTGCAAAAATAATATTATAATATTGCTTGCTTTAAAATTTATTACCAGATTTTTTTAAAATTTTAATTTGATTAAAATGTTATAATTTGTTTTCTTTTACTTTAAATTTCGTTCTTCGTTTTTTTTTTTTGAACTTAAGCAACCTCAATTCAAAGGCTCGGAGTATTACAAGTTTGTGAAATTCTGTTAAAAAATGACATAAGTTTTTGATTGTACCTCATAAAGTGCACTGTTGTTTTTGAAACTCTTATTGAATAGAAAAAAATTTCAACAGGAATTTCTCATTTACAAGTTTTATCGGTGAAAAGTAAGTTTTAGATAATGAACAATAAGCAAATTATTATGTGTTAATATTAAAAAATGAGAATTGTATTCATTTTAATTTTTTAATTTAATTAAAATGATTAATATATGTTTGCAAATAACTCTAGAACACATGATTTTTGAATGTATCCATTTTTAAAGGATCAACAATATTTAAGTATTAAAAATTGGCTTGGTTAGGACAAAAGCTGTCAATCTTCTGTTTAAGTAAGCTATCCATTTTAGATTTAAAAAACTTTCGAAGTCCTTTATTTTTAAATTTCAGAAAGACGAAAAAAAAAAAGAAAAAAAACCGATATATATTATATATTTTTATATAACAGCAATCTATTAAGTTTTTTGTTTATCTGTTTTCGTATTTTTAAATTTCAAAAAGACCAAAAAAAAAAAAAAAACAAAAAAAACCAAATATATATATGATATTTTTTGATATAACAGCACTATTAAGTTTTTTGTTTATCTCTTTTCTTCTTGTAAATCATGAGTTCTCAACTAATTCTTACTAATCATGTAGTGTATATCCTAAAGCCTAGTGAAATAGCATGGTTGCTGTATTTTTGATTAAAATTTTTTTTTTAAAAAATGTGACTTCTCTGGGTGTAGCTATGAGGCTTTGATTTCCAATTAGCCTTCATTTTATACTTTTTTTTTCTTAATTTGATGATTGTCGTCAAAACTTTATGGGCACATATTTTTACCTCTCATTACTGAAAACATTTAGTGATATGGGTGACATGCCACTTAAATCATAGCATAACTTGGTTTTTAATGAGATTTTGTTATTGCTGCATTGAATTATGAAATTTTCAGTGCCGATAAACTTTATGTGGAACTGCATGAATATAATGTGTTGAAGGTAAGGTCTTTTAAATCACAAACATTAAAAAATAATTATAAAATTATATCTCGGTTGTTACATACCAAGGTTATAAGGTAACAGTAGCTCTTTTATTCTAAGGTTAAAACTGGAAAAAAAATGAGAGAAAGAGACTAATACTATTATAGATTTAATAATTTTTGGCATTTCTAAGATGAGTAACAACATACTCAATGCCTTCAAGTATGGGAAGATTTCTATATAGGTATCTACGTCAAATTGATCACCAAGTTCTGTTTATTTCAGGGCAGTTGCCTGCAAAAAGCTTTTTTTCTTTCTAATGACAGGCTCGGAGCTTCTCGTTCTTTGTCTTAGAAGATGCCAGAAGTGTTGCTCATTTAGCATTACCCTGTGGGTATCTGTGAACCTAAGTCACAAAGGTGATCAGCATTATCCACACCACATTGCCACATACTTGTACATGGGTTGGGCCACAACAGAGAAACATCCATGCCTTGAACAAGATTTGAACCCACAACCTTGGCTCCGCAATCAAGCACACTGACCTGTCTGGCCCTGTGAGAAATTGGAAACATATCCCAAAAAGGAAATCAGTTCGAGGAGTCTTAACTCATTGCTATCCTTATGTGAATTTCTATATTTTAAAAAAGTTTTGTAAGTCTAAAAGACTTTTGGTGATTGTTATTGACACAAGTAGATACCAATATTGAAATACTATTTCCTCAAGACTAAATTTTAGTCAAGTCTAATTGTGGTGTGTTCTTCAAATTGTTTAGAGAAAGTTAACTTGTTTAATTAAATTAAAAGCAGCTAATCTAAAAAAGTGTTTGGGAGTGTTATGTATCAAACCTGCTAATTTAAAAAAAAAATTTAATACACTTTTGGAATTGAAAATTTTTCTGTAATTAAAAAGTAATTTTTAAGCACAAAAACTGTCAGCCAGCCTTTTTAAAACAAACATTGATTGAAAAGCTTGTTCTAAACCTTGTAGGTTTTGCATTCATATTAGTTAAATCCAATCGTACAATTTTTAATGAGTAATATTGCTTGATCTGATCTCTAAGATGAGATTGATAATCTGATTTTAAATAATTATTGTTTGAGTATGAATTAAAAACTATCTTTTATATAGCTAAAAATGTAAAAAAATGTTTTTCTCTAATTTTAATATTTGAGTTCTAAAAAGGGAATCCTCTTACCTGCTCAAAAAGGCTGAAGGAGCAGTTATTGCTCATGTAAATAAATATTTATGTATGGGATAAAAAGTCTTAGTTTTATTGAATAATTTATTTTTCAGTATAAACAATGATTTATGTAATTTATTTTTTATTATAGATAGTTCACTTCTATACTACATTTTGTATATCTCAATTGGATTTGTTTATCCTGCATACTGCTCGTAAGTTTCATTTCACTACATTTTTATTTTTATATTGTGTGTGTTTGTTATAATCTAAATGTTGCAATATATATTTTTATTAAAAAGGTACAAAATATGGAGATGCACAGAATTTGCATTTTGGCCCAATAACTAATATTCTGATAAATAAATGTCTAGTTTGTCAAATAATATGTTCATTAATAATAATTCATTTTATGTAAAAAAAAATTTTAAATCTATGAGGCTCAATGAATGTAAAGTAATTTTAAAACTTGTGGGGAAATATTTTGTGTCCAAAATTTGTCGCTTATGTGTACCTACAAGGAAAAAATGTTCAAAATTTTTAAGGAATTATCGTTAGAATCATCACATACTTCTGCAGTGGTATTTTTTGTAAAGGTAGTACATAAATTCTTAAATAGTTTTGACTTATATTGTTCTATAGGTACTTCCTAAATATAAACCATATTGTGTGTAAGAGGTTTTTGAAAATTTACTTTTGCGTTAATTAAGGAATTTGCATTAATTAAAAGCTTATTAGCTGCTTAAAATAAACAATTTGTTTAAACATTTTTTAATATATTCTGCAATTATAATATTTTTTCTTTGCATTTTTATCTTATTAAAATAGCTAAGAAATTATTTATCATAAATAGTCACATGCTTTGTTTATGTAAGCTAATTTTATAGTTTTATTGAACCTGTAAAGTTCTTTTGTTGTTTTCCTCCTCAAGTTTTAAATGAATATACTCAAATTTTATGTTTTTTTTATTATATGAATAATATAAAAATATTTATGGTCCAGTTTTATATAGTTTAAAAAATGTCTAGCTGCAGCTTTGTATGGTTATTTATGTAACTACCATTTTAAAATAAAAAAATGTTTCAAAGTTTTTCTGCATTAAAAACATGAAATTATGGAAAATTAGTCTATTCTTTACTATAAAGCCATTTTAAAAATGATATCTTGAAGAAAATATTGTATATTTTTAGAGAAATCTTTTATTATTTTAGTTTTAAAGCTAAATTAAACAATTTTTTTATGACTATCATATCAAATCTTGTTTTCTTAAAATTGTTATTTATAAGTATATGCAATGTTAATTTAAGAAAGTAAATTGATATGTGAATTTGCAATGATAATAATTAAAGCAATCAAAATAATTCATAAATTTTGTAGATAGGACATGAATTAATCATGGAATTTTTATTTTACATCAGATTTACTATACATACTACATTTGAATGTAGTATGTATAGTAAATACATTTTATTACATTTGAATGTATAAATGCATTCCCTTCAACATTTTACATTTGCCATTTTACAAATTTCAATTGAAATGCTTCTTGTTTTTTTAAAAATGTTTTTTTTATTAAAATCTATTAATATAATGGAGAAATGTACATTTATATTTTTTCAACATTTGATGATAGTTTGAATTTTTTTATAAGATTAAATCTGAGTCATAAAAAAAAATCCTATATATTATGAAATACATTTTTTTATTTACTTATTAATAAATAAATAAAAAATTCGTTTGAGAGGAAAACTTATTTTCAAATTTCAGTTGTTTAAACATAATTCTTTAGCATTAATATAATCTACACTGTAACATAATTATAGGGCAGTCAACTTTCAAATCAATCTAGACATGTTATTATTAATATAATTACAAATGCCGAGTTATTTAATGATTATAATCTAGAGCCAGATTTACAAGTTAGTCACAATGGACTCAAATCCAGATTTAAAATTATTTTTTTATTGGTAGAAATCATAATGTTTATATACATTGCGATGTCTTAATTTATGGTAATTTTTATTCATTATGCATTTCAGGAATTCTGTTGGTAAGAACTTTAATATGTTTGTTTTATTTTTGAATAAATCTAGAAACTATTATAATTTTTCTTGATTTTTACAATTACTACATTTTTATTTTAATATTTATTACATATTCAGAAAACATATTACTTTGTTTAGCCCTATTTTCCATTCCAAAGTTTCTGCGATATTTTTTAATTGGAATGCACAACGTAAACTGTCTACTTTGTTAGAAGATCAGAATAAAATGTTCCCTTCTGTGCTTTTTCATGTATTTTTAGTTTCTCACTTGTTATTTCTCAGTTTTTAGTCAAGTTTTAGCAATCATTTTGGCACTTTTATTGATAGTATTTTCAACCACGTATCTCTAGATGGTGATAAAGATCAGTTGTTATACCTTAGTCGGAATAAGAAAAGAAGTTTCAAAATTACAGCTATAAAAAGGACTTGTAGAATTTTTTAATAGCTAATAATTAGTGAATAGTTATTCCCTGAATAATTTATGCCCCAATGCCTTAATATATTTTATTTTCCAGTTTCATTTTTTTTTTACTAGTCTCTTATCACTGTTTATGTGTGTTTTCTAACAAAGTTTTTACACTTTTCAAGCATCAGTAAACCAAATTTTTTACTTTTATTATTATTGTTGTCAACATTATTATTTACAATTCTGATTGTAATAAAACTAGAATTTGGTTATGATTAGTTTAATGTAACAACTGTGATTATGATATAATAATTGTTTTGAGCTCTTTTTAGAAACTAAAATATTAATTTGAAAACTATATTAAAAAAAAAAAAACTATCAATAAAACCTAATCCATTGATTTTATGTTTAAAAGGAAAAGTTTGTGAACTTTTAAATAAATTTGAGCTCAATACAAACGATGTCTTATTTATGTGCTTAAAAAATGCCTTAAATGTTTTATCAAATTTAATAAGTATATTGCATAATACTATTGCATAATATTGTATTGCTACTATTCTTTCAAAAAACTTATGATCTGCATATCTTTGCTTTTTTTTTCTTCCTTACATGCTGCATTTTTATGTTTTAGTTTGAATGCTTTGAATACTCCAGATAAAAAAGATGATTCCATATGGCTAATTTATTGGATCGTTTTTGCAATTTATACTCTCTTAGAAGTGGGACTGGATATGATTTTATTCTGGCTTCCATTATACTCCTACCTCAAGGTAATAGAATGATTTTTTAGAACTTCTTTTTAATTATACTTGCTTTTAGTTCTTGTAATAAATTTTTTTCGATGTTCAGGCCCATAGTTCTGTAGCTTCGGCAAAAAATGTTTAGCAGGTTTCTTTTAAATACTTTGTCTCGGTACAGATTTATTTTGTTCAAATAGCAAACATACACAAGTATTGATTTTAAAGGAAATTTTAAAATACCTTCATTATGTTGAATGATGGATGTTATGGGTTCAGGGTTGCTAACTACTATGCTTTTAGTGATATATTTCATAGTGTGGTTAGACTGTTAAAACTTATGCTGTTGAAATTCGTGGTAATTGTGCCAACATATTAAAAACCTTTCCTCGGGAGAGTTGCAACAAAGTGGCATTTCATATAAACTTTTGAATAATTTACATATAGTAGTGTAAGAAAAAAAATTTTAAACCAAATTTAAAAAAAAAAGCAATAAATAATGCATCAAAACATAAACTTAGCTACCACTAGGAAATGTTTTTCCAAAAATTGTTGAAAGCTTGCTAGCCCTTTGAGTTTTCAGTAATGTATTTAATTTGAGTGTCACTTATAGGATATAAATTCTTATAGCTAATTTCATATTTATAGACTATCATTTGAAGAATGTTGGAAATTTCTACTCTAAAAATTAACGTCTTAACCTCAATAAAAAATACTGACCCAAATAATAATTCCAGAATTTTTTTTAATTTGACTTTTTTGAGCATTTCAGTAACTGTTTCTAACTAATATACTGACCTTATTGCTAAAATTATAATATAATCTTCATCTATCTAATGAAATTTACTAGGGATGTCTTAAGGTTTAGGTGTTTTTCTTTTGCATCTTTAATGACTAACTACAAAATTGAAATAGATAGTTAAAAACATATAAGAAATTATAAACCGGGAAATTCAGACATCTGGAATAGCAATGGTCACGAGCATCCTGGTTAATTGGTTCTCTACTGTACTTAAATTTGTGCAACTTCTTACTGCCTTTGAGTTTTTCTTACCTGTTAATAATCAACATATATATATATATACCCTGTGACAGAATTTTTTCGGGTTTTCTACAACATACCTCTCTTATACTAATATCTTTCTGCAAGATACTTTTAAAAATAACAAATATGCATGTTACTAAATTAAAGTAACAAAAGCGTCAACTTCAAAAAAAAAAAAGCTTTTTTGATTGAATAAAATAATTTTTTAATTATGTAATATATTTTTATTCTAATATTATAGACGGTATTCTTNTGAATGCTTTGAATACTCCAGATAAAAAAGATGATTCCATATGGCTAATTTATTGGATCGTTTTTGCAATTTATACTCTCTTAGAAGTGGGACTGGATATGATTTTATTCTGGCTTCCATTATACTCCTACCTCAAGGTAATAGAATGATTATTTAGAACTTCTTTTTAATTATACTTGTTTTTAGTTCTTGTAATAAATTTTTTTCGATGTTCAGGCCCATAGTTCTGTAGCTTCAGCAAAAAGCGTTTAGCAGGTTTCTTTTAAATACTTTGTCTCGGTGCAGATTTATTTTGTTCAAATAGCAAACATACACAAGTATTGGTTTTAAAGGAAATTTTAAAATACCTTTATTATGTTGAATGATGGATGTTATGGGTTCAGGGTTGCTAACTACTATGCTTTTAGTGATATATTTCATAGTGTGGTTAGACTGTTAAAACTTATGCTGTTGAAATTTGTGGTAATTGTGCCAACATATTAAAAACCTTACCTCGGGAGAGTTGCAACAAAGTGGCGTTTCATATGAACTTTTGAATAATTTACATATAGTAGTGTAAGAAAAAAAATTTTAAACCAAATTTTAAAAAAAAGCAATAAATAATGCATCAAAACATAAACTTAGCTACCACTAGGTAATATTTTTCCAAAAATTGTTGAAAGCTTGCTAGCCCTTAGAGCTTTCAGTAATGTATTTAATTTGAGTGTCACTTATAGGATATAAATTCTTGTAGCTAATTTAATATTTATAGACTATCATTTGAAGAATGTTGGGAATTTCTACTCTAAAAATTAACGTCTTAACCTCAATAAAAAATACTGACCCAAATAATAATTCCAGAATTCTAGAATTTTTTTTAATTTGACTTTTTTGAGCATTTCAACTAATGCATTTGTTTTTTTCTTCAAGCATTTCATTTGTTTCTAACTAATGTACTGACCTTATTGCTAAAATTATAATATAATCTTCATCTATCTAATGAAATTTACTAGGGATGTCTTAAGGTTTAGGTGTTTTTCTTTTGCATCTTTAATGACTAACTACAAAATTGAAATAGATAGTTAAAAACATATAAGAAATTATAAACCGGGAAATTCAGACATCTGGAATAGCAATGGTCACGAGCATCCTGGTTAATTGGTTCTCTACTGTACTTAAATTTGTGCAACTTCTTACTGCCTTTGAGTTTTTCTTACCTGTTAATAATCAACATATATATATATATACCCTGTGACAGAATTTTTTCGGGTTTTCTACAACATACCTCTCTTATACTAATATCTTTCTGCAAGATACTTTTAAAAATAACAAATATGCATGTTACTAAATTAAAGTAACAAAAGCGTCAACTTCAAAAAAAAAAAAGCTTTTTTGATTGAATAAAATAATTTTTTAATTATGTAATATATTTTTATTCTAATATTATGGACGGTATTCTTGCATTTTGTACGGGAAAAACACACTCATTATTTCCTTTTTCGCATTTTGTAAATCATCATATTAAAAAAACCTTGAAATCCGTAGCAGTAACTACTGAAAAAAAAAGATCAACGACGAAATCACTCAAATCGGAAACTAAAAAAGGGTTATTAAATGCGTATTTTTATTTCGAGATTCAATTGTTGTAATACGTAATATTGTATTTAAAATATCGAATTTAAAAAACTATGTGGAAATCAATAGTAATAATTGCATAAAAAAATTAGAACAGAAATTTATGCAGAAAAGAAAACCAAAATTTTTACTTCATTATTCCTTATTTTTCATTATTCTCAAATGAGAATAGAAAAATCACGTTGCTTGAATCACAATGCTAATGTTCTCTACATTGCTAATGTTCGAAGATAATGGCAACAGCTTCAGATCAATGGATGTTGGCTTTAGCTTTTATACATTGTCACCAGCATGCAAATGGTCTCAAATGGCTAAACTTTTTCATAATATCTCTTTAAAAGTGTGAAACATTATTTTAACAATTATTTTTTAACTTTAATGATTTAAATCAATGAGATTTTTAGAAAAATATATGTAACTATACAGGGTAATTCAAAATGAATATAGCAATTACAAACAGCTATAACTATTTAATGAATAATAATTTATCGATAAGATTAACATAGATTTGATGTAATTTCAAACTTTTCTTTATGTAAGACACAGGTGCGAGTTCATTAGTGAAAATGGCGAGTCCCGTGCGGAAAGCATTCTGCATGTTAGAATTTAACAATTGTCATGTTATCACAGTGGAGAAAAGATTTCGCCAGTGTCACTATCTTTTTCAACCAAATCGTTACAATCAAAACAATTAAAGAACTAAAAAAATACATTTGTAATGGGCTTGCGTTGGTGACTGCACGAATGCTACAAAATGTATGGCGTAAAATGGACTACCGCCTAGCCGTTGTCTGGGTGACCAAGGAAAGTCCTATAGAAAATCTGTAACGCGTGTATATAAAATTTTGAAATTCCTTTTACATTCTGTATAAATTTTATCAATAGATTCTTTTTCATTAAATAATTATTGCCGTTTGTAATTTATTTTGAATTACTCTGCAATTTAAATTGCTGACAATATTTGATTTATATCCTTAACACACTAATTTGAGAAACATCATATTCTTAGTACCTTTTATTATAAAAATATTATCTTGTGTTTCTTTAATTGATTTTTTTTTTATTATGGTTTGAAACTTTATATACTTCTCTAGTTTATATTTGTCATTCGTAGTTTTATTTATTTGGTAGTTTGTGTTTAATATTTATTGGTATATTATTTTTTAGCTTTTTTTTCTTTTATGGTGCGCTGCACCCATTGGAAAAAACGGAGCTTATTACATCTTTAAAATATTTATTGAACCATTTTTCCGAATGTATGGAGGACATATCAATTATTATCTCACTCAAGTTGTAGAAACTGCAAAGAGTTCTGCCGATTACATTCCAGCATATCCAAAATAAGTTTATGGTAAATATTTTTAATTAATTTTTTCTTTCTTTCTAATTAACCCCTTAACGATCGGTTAATTTTCAAGAAGACGGTCATAAAAGTGCCAATTTTTTTATCCCTGAAAATTATATAAAAATATCTGTATGAGCAATATATATATTCATTTTTAATTTTTGATTTGTTTTTAGCTTGAAATTTTAAATAATTAAATTTTTAGGAAAAGCTAACAACTATGACTTAATGTTGGTTTTCCAGCAAGCAAGGAAAATTTAAAAATTTTTTGTTTTAAACATTATAAACTAATTTTATTAAACTTATGTATAATATAAATAAACATTAATAATTTATAATATAAATAAACATTAGTAATTTTTTCTTGTGTAATAAATTTAAAAGTATGAGATGCAGAGGCCAACGTCATAATCTGGACAGTAGTACCGAGTTTCTTTTCTACATCTAGTTTAAAATAAACTAACTATCTACAATTACCTTAAAAATAGCCTGGTACTGCCATCTGTTGTGTAAAATGAGAAAGAAAATGTTGTCCAGGCGAAGGAAATGAATTAGTTTTATTCTTATTGGCGCAGTACTACTGAACTCTCCAGCCCGGAAATATCAAGAGAGTGAGAAATAGAGGGCGAAACCTCACCCCGTCATTTTCACGGGAGCTAGAAGGAAGGGGTTAATTTGGTTTCTTTGAAATTAAATCTTATAAAAATTGAGCTAAGACGCAAAAATCAAACTTTTTTAGCATTTGACTGCTGCTATTTTAAAGAGCTATAAAAAATTAGCAATGATATTTTGAAATTGTTTCATAATAAATTTTTCTACCAAAATTGTTCTCACTTTGATCACAAATAGGCTTTTAAAATTCTTTCATGTTTAATGTAAATTGGCATATATTAACTCTTCAATTCTAGCATAATATAATAATTTTTATTTATTCATTTATTTTTTCGTCAGATCGCAGGTTATGATGCCTTCAGCACTGCAATTTAAATATATGAAATTACTTTGTCATGGGACAAACCCAAGTGTAAATGAAGTAGAAATATCATTTCACTTTAAAGGAATTATAAATTATCTAATTTGCTAATGTGCACTCTGGTGGTAGGCTGTTAAATGCTTAAATTATTTTAAATACAGGGAAAACCACTAGCATTAATTTGCTACCTTTTTGGCGACATTTTAAATCTGCTATTTATTAAAATTCCTCAAACTTTCTTATTTTTGCCTATAAATATTTGGGTGATCAACTTTTTCTGATTCTTGAGGTATTGGTTATTAAAGAAATATTTTAATTTTGATGATTCAAAATATAAATTTGAATTTTTCCCTAATTATACTGCATATGCAGAGTTGCCACTTATTATGCAGCAACACTTTTTATGCAGTAAACAGCTTGAAACTAAAGTTTTCAGAATTTGTGGTAATTTTGCCATCATTTTAAGAGTCTCACCATAATGGAGCTGGAGCAATTCATATAAACTTTCATGGCGTTTCATAAAAACTTTTGAATCATTACCCTGTGGTGATGGGGAAAACTATAACTCATATTTACAAATCAAGGAGTACATTGAAATCTAAATTTAGCTACCATTCCAAGAAATTTTCCCTAAATCGGGGAAAGTTTGTCATTTAAAAAGTGGAAAGTTTCTTTTAATGTATTCATTTTATTTTCATCTCAAAATTTTTGAAGCTTAACTTTTAAATTAGTTGATTAAGGAAGTTTTGAATTTTAATTATGTATATATGAGCGAATATTAACTGATTGATATCTCTTATTTTCTTTACTGCTGCAGTAATATATATATATATATATATATATTGATCTCAAACAATTGCTCAATGCTCCATAAAATTATACTGGAGACTGTTGGGATTTTCTGTTTAAACAAAGTAACTCCGAAATTTATAGTATTATATTATGCTATTCTTTTGTGATAAAATTTGCCTTTATTATACCTAAATCGAACAAATTATACTTTTTCTTAGTTTTTTTACGTTTCTTAAATGTAGTCGAGTATATGCATGCATTTAAAAAAATGCTCTGATTTTTCTCGTAATTTTTTCTTGGGCTATGAGAATAACTTTCAGAATCTTAAAAATGCTTACAGTTTATTGTGAAAAAATTGTTAATGACTTGAATGATCAGAGATTTTTTTTCAATGCCAAAGAACATATCAAATGATTTTAATTAAAAATGTTAAATGAAACTACAAAGTATTTATCAAAATAAATAAAATGATTGTAACTGAGCGGGTCAAAGGTAGATGGAAAGTTAACCCATTGAAAAATAAACAAACTAGAAGTTATATTAGCGGATTGGTAAATACATTTGATGCACAGATTATTGCAATTTTTTATATATATTTTGCTACTAATCTTCATACCATTGAACATCTTCTCCACATTGCTGGATTCTGATAAATAATTTTTTTATCCATGTAACATATATCATCATGTATTGCATACCATTACATAATGACATCTTTGGTATATAACATATAGTGTTTTGTGATTCTTGATTGTTACAAATTTAATATTTTGATGCCATAAAATATATTTTGTTCTTTCTTTGACAGTGTCATTTCTTCATTGAACTGCATCATTCCTGTTAGTATTTGTCTTTTGAAGATAACTGTTTGTGCCAAAATTTTGCGGATTGAAAGTATTAAAACTCATTATATTTCATTTTAATAAAATCTATATTTTACGCTTAAAAGTTTTTTTGACTTTTTCTTATTTTGTTCAGTATATGCTGTAATAAATAAACAACAGTACAAAACCAATATTTAACGAATTTAAGTGATCATTTGAGTAATGGTAATGGTTAAGAAAATTTCTCTATGTATGGTTATGTATGCAAAATACTAATATATTCTTATATTTTTCTTTTTTTTATTATTTTGATACATATTTAAATGGGAAAAGTAAAAAAAACAATGTGCCCTGTGCTTAGTATGAATTTTAGACACCAGTTCCATTTTACAGAAAAATTGCACTAGGACCTCCAATAAAGTATTAATTATAAATATTTTGAAACATAAATTTCATTGTTATATATGTATTTTAAATTGTTATTTACCTTTAAATTTATCACAGTTAATCACATATTTGAGATTACATTGCTTGGCATGATCAAGTTTACAATGTCTATCCCCTTAACGATCAGTTAATTTTCCAGAAAACGGTCATAAAAGTGCCTATTTTTTTGGCTTTTATATTTGTATTACATATTATTTGCTTAGTGCTGCAACTAGTTTAAAATAAACTATCTACAATTACCTTAAAAATATTCTGGTGCTGCCATCAGGTGTGTAAAATGAGAAATAAAATGATTTCTGGGCAAAAGAAATGAATTAGTTTTATTCTTATTGGCGCATTACTACTGAACACTGCAGTCCGTCAATATCACAGGAGCGAGAAATAGCAGGCGAAAGCTCAGCCCTTCACTTTCTCAGCACGATTGTTGATATAGCAATCGTATTATTATGTGTATCAAAACAGTTTTAAGTTTTTAAACTTTTTTTTTTTAGTCTAAGTGGACAGAGTTGGAAATTCTATTTAAAAAATCAGCGTAATTTGTTTGTTAGAATATTTCTTAAATGCTAAGTTAACAAATAAAAGTAGCTAATAATTTTCTGATACTTACGAACATTTTTAAAACTCTATTTTATTTTAAACTGTACTACTGCTTGATCAGATGGATTTTGTGTTTGTTATTCTTAAAAATTAAATTTATTTGTTTAATATAAAATTTAGCTAAAAATATAACACAATTTCCCCCCCAAAAAAAGGGAACTATTCAATTTCATTTTTGGTAAAAAGAAAAACTTGGATAAAGTGAAGTAAAAAATAATGGTGTGTATTACTCCTTTTAAAAACTTTCTATCAGATAAAAAACAATATTTTTTCATGCAGCTTTGAAAATATAAAAAATCCATTTTTTTTTTCAGACTAAGCTTTTGGACCCATAATATGCAAATGAAAAATACTGCCTAATTCTGAGAGTTCACCAAAGAAAAACTGCATGCCAATTCTAATATGTTTTTGTCTCAGTTTGTGTTTGGTTAGTTGTAGGGATGCATTAGACTACTTAAGATCCTAGTAGCAGAACTAGCGTGGTATGGCAGCAGGTGCCACAGATTTCTCTCTTCCTTGCTGGCAAAAATAAACTTTAAGAAAAAAAAGACAAATTTAAGTGAAATTTAAAAGCAAAAAAATCTGTTTTAACAGCTTGCATTTCATGTGTTTAATTTTTTTTAATCTTCTAATTGAGTTTTAGTTAATTATTTTAAGAACTTTCCTTTAATAAAACAAAGCATTTTATCATGTTTGCAGTATCATACATTTTTTCTTTTAGACTTTGCAAACCTATCAAGGGCAGCATATTTTATGCTGTTGAACCTGTTTATCTCGAACCTCTTTATATCGTAAACCTCTATATCTCGAAATTTTTAAAATTCCCTACATTTACTGTCTAAAATTAATGTATTTTCCATGTTCATGTCGAAATTTTTTTTCGAAACCTCCGTTTGTCGAATTTCTAATAATAGAGCACAAATGTCAAAACTTTCCTTATCAGTAGAGCCTTAATATGGAGATGAATTTCGTGAATCCGCAGGAAGTAGGGATGAACAGGTTGGGGGTGTTTCTTTGAATTTCAATCACTATCCCTGCACTTCCTTAACTAGAAAGGAATACAATGATTCTGGCAGTAAGTGAGGGGTTAATGAGTAGTGACCATTAGGGGTTAGCTTTTCAACATAGATAAGAAAACTAAGAATAGAAATTCATTTTGATCTCAAAATTGCAAATTGCAACCAATGGATCAAAGGATAATTAAGGGTTTTAAAGTGAACTATAGAAAACGATCTATGAGGAATTTGCAATCTTTCTAACCTCAAAAGAATAACAGAAACAAATAAGGTTATTAGTCAAAAATATAGGAAAATTATTTTCAGTGTTAAATGTAAGTTAAAAAACTGTTATGTAAATTGGCGTATGTGGTATAATTACTTTAAAGAAATGTCTATATTTTTCTACTAAAAACAAAGCACTTTTAATAGAATTTCCTAATTAAATTTTTTATAGTACCTGTATAACTCTAAATCTCTTTATCTCGAATTTTTCGCCTTTCCCGTGAGATTCGAGATAAACAGGTTCGACTGATCACTCGCTCTGCAGTTAAATTTTAGAATTTTTTTATTATTTGGATCAAAATTTAAAATATTTTAGAATTTCATGGTATTGCAGACTAATACAGAGGTTCTGCAACTGGGCCTATGATTACCTGGAGATTAGCCTTCCTCTATGCCAAAAAAACTAATCAAAAGGTAAAAGTCATTGAAGAATGGTTAATCTTTTTGTTGAATCATCTAATGAATTATTATTAAACACAATTATTTTTTTCAAAAAACTTAATCACTAGTGAACAAATAAAATATAAACTAATAGTAAATGTACGGTAGTTAGGTTCTATTTAGTACCATATTAGATTGAAACAAATTTTAACAATATGGTTCAACACTCTTTGAAAATTCTGCCAATGTCCTACTGGTCATTATAACTGAAGAGCTGAGTAAGTGTAAGTTCTAAGTTTGCTTTAAAGTTTATACATAGTACCTTTTTGCCACTTCACTGAATATCTGTGTTTTTTTTGTACACATACGTGAAGGTGTAACACTTAAAATTTCGGAATTTTTTTAACTTATACTCCTTTAAAAGGGAAAAAGTAGTAATGATTTTTCTAAATAGCATGTACTTCTATTCATGTAACGTTAAACTTATTTGATGCTTCCTTGGAATTTTCAAATAAAGGTGTCTACAATTGGAAAGAAGTAAAAAATTGTGGATATAATTATTTTATAATTCACTGTGTAAACAATATATGGTTCAAAACGCTCATTTAATTTGTATTAATAAATAAGTGTTGACATTTTACATGAAAAGAAACTTTTTTTAATATATAAGCTTATCATATAAAAAAGCTGCATTCACAAAAATCTAAATTTTGAATTTTTTGTAGCTTACTTTGATTTTTTTTTATTGCCCAGCAAAATAATCAGTGTTAATCGAAAACGGATTAAAACAATTGACACTGGTTTTAAGCATATCCTGAAAAATTTCTATTCGAATGGACGAAGATATCTCCAAAAGCCGTTAAAAATATTGCTTTGAGAAAAACAAGTTAATGCTTAAACTTATTCCAGACGCGACAAAGATATTAACCAATATTCGTTTGAATAATTTTGATTCTGTAATAAATGTCCTTGGAATCGTATTTCACTTCCTTTCATGAAATTACTAAACTCTAAATCATTTTTATACAATGATTGAAATTTTACCTTGATAAAACAGAGTGAAGCTTGTATTTTTTTTAATTATTTTTTTTTTATACGTGGATTCTTAAATGAAGAAAGTCTGTAAAGATTTCATCGAAAATTAGGTGCCGATGGAATATCTAAAATTGAGTTATATTGTTCTTATCATTTTAAACAAAAGTGCCGATAGCCATATATTTCACAAATCGATTGTTTTTGAGGTACTATACATAATTGATTGCATACGCATGGATAACTTTATTCAGAAAATCTTGCATTTTCTATGTTCAAGAGCTAAATAAACTATTGGTTTTTGATATTTATACATAGATATTTGTTATCAAAGCTCTGAGAACAGCAACATAATTTGTTTAAGAAGATTTTATTTGGACTTATTTTGGGTAAGCAAAATCTGTAATGAACTCTTTGTCATGCCTATTCTTGTTCGTCACCGCCATATTCCGTGTTATAGAGCTAAATATTTTAATTATACTGCAAAGTGAAGCCCATACCGTAAAAGGGTAATTTTGAACAAAACCTGTCAAATGTCAGGTTTCATGTCCATGCAAGTAAAAACTGGAACAACGCAGTCTAAATATCAGACTGAGTTTTATAATTTCGATGCAAATGCACAAATTTATACAGGGTGTTCCTTTAAGACTATCCTTTATATGTATTTTTAAAATACTTATCATAAATGGAAACAATCATGTAAACACATTAGGGGTTGAAATAATATGTCATTGAGAAAAAATAAAAATGCTGAATAAAATCTGACAAATTATGGCAGGGGGGGCGAAGGTAATGAATAATGAAGCATATCTATTAGCCAGAGAAAACGGAGAGACAGCATTTTTCTTAATGAAAGAATAAGATTGATTTTTAACAATCACAGATAATTCGTTCAAGTGCTCTAAGTATATCACACTGTTGTACTTAAAGCACTTAAACGAAATTTTCTCCTAGATATTGGAGTTTATGATGGAAAATTAAAAGAATTTCGAAGATGTAAATTTTTAGAAAATTATTTTGCAGTTACTATTGCGCTGAAGTCACCAGGGTAACTCATCACTTTTGTTGTGTTATTTTCAGAGTTTAATTTTAGCGACATAGTTTTGAATTTGTTAATTTTTATACCATCACTTTCTTGTTTTTATAAAGCTTTGGATCACATATATTAATACCGCGTGTATTCTAGAGGGGCGTGTTCATAAATTCAACATTTAAGAGAAGTTCATTATAAATGTTTAAATTTTATAACTTTTGTCTTCAAGTTCTAAATTTTAAGTTTTACTCCTTTCTTTGACAATTACCTCAAACGGTGCTTTTGTGTTTTATTTCATTGATTATATTTCCTTATTAATTTTTTCTTTATTTGCTAAGTCACTATTTTTTCTTG